TTTACAGTTAAAGAACCATCTCTTGATTCTCCAGCATATGCATCAAGGAAATTATGTTCAACTAACACTGCCATTCCTGTTACATTATTGGCTAGCATTGATTGCTGCATAGGGAATTGCAAAAAGAAAAAAGAGAAGCAGAATTTGAGAACATTTTATCACAGATCTCTTATTAACTAGTAATAGAGTCAAAACAATGTATATAATTGAGACACAACTTTTGCACCATGTACAAAGTTCAAATCTAAATTGTAAAACATGTGTGCTGTCAATCAGATTACAAATAAATACTTTTATGGTCTAACTCAAGTATTATAATACATCTTCACTTTCTGTGTAAAATAATTAATCCCTCATGAATTTTGAATGGTGGAATGCTTGTTGCAAAAATGAAACATTGACTCACTACAGCTACATAATTAGTGTTAGATACTGTCGTGCAAAGAAAGTAGAAAACCATTCCATAACATTAATTTTCCATCATGCCTCTAATGCATGACATCAAGTAGAAAAAGCTGTTCCGAAAACTTTTTCACCAACACTACTTCACTTATTTATAAACTAATTTTTTACAGTTCTTATATGATTTTTTGAAGTAATTTTAAATTATGAAAAAAATATATTTTATTTTTTATTATTTTCTTCCCTGGAAGTACTTAAAGAGAGCTTTTTTAAACAAGATCAAGACATGTGAGTCGATACCTAGACCTCTTGTCCAAAAAATAATATTAGTTTAGGTCTTTGAAAACATATATTTAAATGAACATTGGAAGTTTGATGATTATAAACATATAATTTTTTTATCTAACTTTTATTCCAGAATTGTTCCTCATGTGAAGAGAGTGTACTCATCCTAACCAAATGGTATAATATGAATTTTCATCTCAAAATAGTGTTGAAAAGAATCTGTCAAATACAAAGTTTATAGTATATTCATCCACTAATATACACATTTTCCATTACTATCAACCACAATCTCTAGATGTTGGTGTTTGTGTCATAGGTGAGGAGCTGCAAGTACTGTTTCTGCAACAGTGCATTATGATCAGACAGCTTTTTAGATTACTTGGTGACCAAGGTTTGTTTCAATAATTCTTTCTTTTATAAAAATCTACACACTTAATTTTGGTTCAGATATATAATTACTCTTTTGTTCAGCAACATAATTTTCTAGCTTCAATATAGATTACTATAGAACAAAGCTTACATATAGCAGCACATAATAAGTGTTTTCCTCGAATTAAATTTGGATTTTCATTACACGTGGTATGTTGAAAGTGAAACTCTACACATGATTGAATAATATTAACAACACTTATTCTGTCTCTGTCCTATTTGAAGCACTTTAACGTCTATTTCAGTATTCCAAAAAAAGTAAACAATGAAATCAGTCCAACAGATAGGGATCAAACTTACAAGATTTTCATTCAGCTTGTCTTTTTCATCACTGGACCGTTTCTTCCATGCTCCATACCATATGATCTGATTACAGGACATGACCTTTTAACACGGTGTAGAAAAAGAAAAGAAACAGTGAAGGATGATATGCTTAGTGGGGGACAAGAACTAGCACCAAAACGTAATACAGTAATTTACAGTGACACATTCACTAAAAAAATGACAGTAGTTTTTTATTATTGCAACTGAAACAAATAATCCTAATCTGAAAAGATCTACTCGTCTTGGTTCCAAGAAAAACTTTCTGCTAAACAACATCAGGATTTAGAGTGTTGTGCTTCTAACTTTAGGATTCCTCACGAATCTCACATGATAAAATACTTTAGCATAAGATTTCAATCTATATATCTAATTATAATACTACTACGCGCATATCTGTACCAGCTTTTTTCCATAGGTTAATCAAGACAACTTGGAGTGTATATATAGAATTCAGAAAGGATAAAGAAAGGACACAATAGAGAATTGATAGATAACTGAAACTGAATTGAGAAAATTTAAAATTAGAGAAGGGAAAGAAGAACTTACCATATTTCCATGTATGCTCCTAAATATGGAGCTTTGCACACAACCAAGATTCTGAGTGAGTAAGGAAAAGTGTTGGAGTCGATGAACAAGATGGTCAACGATTTCCACAGTTGGCTTGAAAACATAGAAACTTATGTCCAAATCTTTGTTGTTAAAATCCATAGAGCAAGTCTTCATCCTTCTGCACTACAAACACACTGTCTATGTTTCCTTGGAAAGAAAGGTTATAAATACTATTTTTCTGTCTGACATTTTGTCAAACATGAGTCGTGAAGCGCAACACACGCATGCTCAGAATTTCGTAAATACCAAGGTTGCTTCCGAGAATTGTTCCAAATTTTGAATTTTGGAGAAGCACTTCACCTGGCAATTTCCTTTTGCTTTGCCAGAAACGACCAAATATATTTAAATAAATGTGACTTGGAACTTGGAATTTTACTTTCACAAATGTTTGACTCATTCATATTCTTGCATTTTTGTACCAAAACACAGCTTTTAACCTCTAACTTTAATCACGTTAAATATTTAAGAAAAGTTTTGTTATCTATAATAATCTTATTCAAATTAAATGGAATTATCTCTTGTAAAAGATATATGTGATATCTACAATTTTTTTTCCAATTTATTAACCAGTATTATTTGGTTAGTGTACCTCACTTCAAATAAAATGAATTCTATCTTGACCTAGAAAAATAATTGAAATGAGTAACACCTTTTTGAATAAACATTTAGGTTTCTATTTTTATTCTTTAGTAATAAGTGTTTCTATTTATATTGACTGATTTTTGACATATGTCAATACATAATTTGTTGACAGCGTGAAATATTTTAAATTACTAACAAAGTTAAATTATAGTTGTCTAATTTTAAATTTAAAAATGATCGTTTTTAATATATATATATATATATATATATATATATATATATATATATATAAATTTAAGAAAAAAAATCAGAAAAATATGTATTTTTTAAATTGAAGTAATTTAAAAAGGAAATTAATTCCAGTTTTTAGATTTAGTGATAATATATGTATTTACACGCTCTGGTCTTACTCTATATATTTTTTTTCTTCTAAAATTAAAATAACATAAATGAAATTAATTTCAAGTTTTAGATTAATGATTTGATATATAAATTATAGTACATGAACATATTTTGATAAAATAATATTATTTTTTATTTTTTAAATTGAAATCATTATTTAAAAGTCATAATTCATTTAGATATTCTACTCATTTTGTACATTATTTGGTCATACAAGTTAACCAACTTCATTAAATATTAGTGGTAAAAAAGAGAGGATATTCTCGAACAATTTGATACTTCATAAAAAAAATAGACACATTTAAATTTAAAAAATAATTCAACATTTCCTATGTTTAGTAATTAAAAAATAATATAAATTATTGGAAAGGAAAGCGAAGCAAGAGAAAGTCGATGGAAAGGAAGAATCCGAAGACCATAAACAGCTTTCAAAGGAATGTAAAGTTGTTACACGTTCAGGAATTACTCACGTGTTAACGTCATGGACAGGCTTAATAAAATAGGTCACACGCATGCCATTCAATATAAGTCAACACGCATTCAAGAAACGTTTATTCTCATACTAGAAAAACCAAAAATACAATTAAACCTATTTTATGACAAAATAATTTGGTCAAATAATCAAAAGCTTTAAATGAAATATAAAAAAAATCTCTTATTACATTGAGAGTAAAAATAGAACTTGAATCCTGTTGTGTTCATTAATGAACACGGAATATTTCTCTTAGAGAATTTGAAGTGATTTTTAAAATAAAAGCTAATCAATTTATTATCTTCTCAAATTAGACATTTACACTCTTCATTGTTTTAATTCATTTTTACTTCAATAGATTTATTTTATTGAGATTGTACTTATTAGATTTAGTTTGTTCTAATAATAAATATAACTCAAACTCTAAATTCTAAATCCTTTCAACTTATTATTGTGAACATATATATAAATTCATAAATGTGAAATTGAAAGTAACTATCAACGTGTCCCCTTACTGTGATCTCACACTACAAAGATTGACAATGAAATTGAAATGCCTCTACCATCAAGACTCACATGTTTATATAAACATTAAATAATATTATTATTAAGATTATTTTTTTCACCCTATTCTACTATTTTAAATTATCTAAATAACATGTTTTTTAAATGAATAATTATAAATTCTTCCATCAAATTTATGATATTTTAGGTACAAAAAGTTTATTATCCACCATAAAAGTTTATTGTCCATTCTCTTACATAAAACTAAAAATCTCTTATATTTTGGGTACGAAAAATTCGTTCTTTGATATGGTAGGGGAACAAGATAATCTTAAAACATTAATACGGGAATCAATTTTCATTGAAATACAAATAATATCCATAGGAAAAGGTCTTTTTGGGGGAGGAGACATTTCTCGCTGCTTCCTCCAATATATATGACTGTAATTTTAGATTCTTTCACGCATATAAAGAAGAATATTACATACATTTTTTTAAAATAGTTGAACAAAAATAGTTTCTCTTTTTCGATAAATGTATTACTATGACTACAGACAAAGTAATTAATTTGAAGAAAAATTGGGAAGAAACAAATTAACGTTTCAACTGAAGATGAGCACAACAGTCAATTTAGAATTTTTCTTTCTTTAGATGACTAAAACTACGGTCATTATTGTAAAGAGATAGTACATTTCTATAACTATGGTAAAAAGGTGAGGTTGTTTAAGGAGAATGGGAAAGTTTAAAATAGAAGTTATGAATGATATATCACTTTAAACAATCTTAATTAAAAGTCAAATAACTTCCCATCGAAAACAGGTAAGTATCGGAGAACAATGTCGCTTGCTCCAGCCATGTTGCACCTTGATCTTTCTACTACTTTCTTTACACTATTGCGATTTCATAAGACTCTTCTACGCACATTATTAATCTCCAAGAACTCCACTCAGCCACGACACTCACATATGTAATGATGAAAAATAATGAAGAATCACTCACGAGTCACGAATAAGCTCTAATAACATGTTCGCCATCACTTACAATAGGAATTATACTTGACAGAATGTGTTTTACAGAAAACAATGGCAGACAGACTTGCTTACATAGCTAGTAACAAACTTTTAAACTTTGAATTTACAACATATTTATCAATGCTACTTTTTGAGACTTAGACTCGAGTTCATGAGTATTACCTTACTATAAGTTTATGGGAACTCTCAAGCCATCATGAGCAAGTTGCACCGACAGTCCTTCCCTAACACAATTATAGAACAATCAACAGTGTAATATGCTAATATCACCACCAAGTACAAACTATGGAGGTAAATAGTTAGACAATATTCCCATGGTATTGTTGATCAGTTCCATGAATCAAAATATCACAATTACATTTTTATTAGTTTCTTTTGCAATTTTGACAAATGGAAAGAAGTATACTACCTTTTGGACCACTCCATTAAAAACTCATTGTCCTTGTAGTAATCAAATTCGTGTGTCATTCCAATCAATAAGGTTTGCTTTGGACACAACCTCTTCACAGTTTCAAGGGCCTGTGAAATTACAAACAATAAGATTTCTCCTTCGGAGACATAATTGTCAAATTTCAACTTAACTAATTGGCATTTATCAAATGATCTCAAACCTGTGAGTCTTACCCAGGTTTGAACTAGATTGAGTTGGAAATTTATGAGTTAAATTGATCCTAACTCACTACACCACATGTGGGTTAAATGAATTCGAGCCAAGTTGGAGGTGGATTGCATGTGACCCACCAACAACTCTTTATAATTTTTTTCATCATTTTTTCATTACGATTATTTACCACTTTTAATTATGTAGGTTGACACCTTATACTTTTTAAGATTAAAAAGTTCAATAGTATTCGAATGAATTATATGCTTAATTTGTTTGTTTGTCCAATTATATAAATTAACACTTTGATTTTTACTTACTATATTTATATTATTCCTTTCTAACTATGGTTAATGTTTAGTGAAATAAATGAACATCCTTATTGTAATGCTATAAATAGGTGGGTCAAGCCAAACCACTTTAATTGCACTGGAATAAATATATGAAACAAGTTGGGAGAGCAAAATATGCTCGAATGAACCAATTCACTTAATCCACTAACCCGTTTAATCCACTAACACGTGGTAGAGCCAAGTAACAATATCTAGTACACCAAAAAGGGAGTAAGATTTAGTTGACTCGTTTCTAGCTCAATCCGTAATGACTCAATCTATGTGAGTTGGGTTGGCTCTCTTTCACAATCCTAATTGGGATTAAGTGAAATTGCCCAACAAATATGAGCTACACTCCAAGAATTGAGGTAGGCAATATAAGACTTTCAACACCACATATGTCTGCCAAAACTGGAGAGCCTATCAAAACTGACAAGCAATTTTATACCATGTTAGATTTCATCTTAAAAGCAATTGACAATTAGTAAAGGTGTCCATCAAATATATCAGCCATCCTCCAAAATTGAGACAGATGATGTGAGACTTCTCAATAATAAGTCTAAACATAATTTTCTTTTAAAAAGCCAAAATTACCTGTGGAAGGCAAAAGTGAACATTGTGTGATCCGGTCTGTGGAAACAAAGAGGAAATATCAAGGAATCTTTGAGAGAATAAATAAATAAGTGAAAAATGAAATTGAAAAATTTGTATCAGAAAAGGAAAGATAGTACAATCCATCAAATAAGGTGAAGAAACACAATCATGCCTACTCGCGAAAATTAAAATATCAACCATGTTGGAAGTCTCTTATCATTAGAGATAAGACCAATTTAGAGTATATAAATGGGTGCAAACCTCACCTTACAAGCCGATTTTGTAGGATTGAGTTAGGCTTAGAGTCCACTTCTTAACATGGTATCAAAGTCATTCTTAGAGTCTATCCTAGCAAGATTTGTTGTTTGTTGAACATATTATTTCACCCACTATCAAACCACCCATTAACGTCAAGTCCCACGTTTGAGATGTTTATACCTCAGCGTGAGGAGGTGTGTTGAAAGTCTCATATCAACTAGAGATAAGGTCAATTTAAAATATATCAGTGGGTGCAAACCTCATCTTATAAGCCGATTTTATGAGGTTGAGTTATGCTTAAAATCCAGTTATTAACAAACCACAAAAAACAAGTCCTAATGAAGTCAACCAGATGAGCATTGTTGAGAAAATTACAGAAAAGGAAATCCTGACATTATTTATCAAAAAGGAAATAGAAAGTTGGTGGACCCATAGAATCTGATGCGAGGAATCAGTTGCTTGTTCCAGGCCCAATTTGGACCACTATATGAAGAGTATATTCTAGGAGGAAAAAGCCTCAAAAAGCCAACATTGCATTTAGACAGGTGATGATAATTCTGGTCGTAGTGGCTAGTAAAGGATAATTGAAGTAGGAGGTTACACTTGCATGAGGAGCATTCAGTCATTGGACTTGTGCAGTGTTGGTAGTCCGTGTCTTTAAAAGGATTACCAATGGGCTGGTAGAGGGTTTTGACCAACAAGAAAGTTGAACAAAGTGTTGTAAACCAAAAACCAAAGTGTTGTAAACTAAAAACCACCAAAATACTGGCTCACAAGATGATAACATGATAGGAACTTAGGTACTATTTGATGCCTAAGTCTCGTATAGATCAATATAAGATATTTGAGAGAATATTTAAGTGTTTGATTCTAATCCTATAGTATCTAGCTTATAAAAGTGGCTTCCCAAGTCCTTGGTGCTTATATTTCATTCTTGAATAATACAATTCATTCTTCCATTAGTTCTTCCTTCTCTCTTAGCAACTCCCATTCCAGTTTTAACACTTCGGTATTCATGTGCTTTAAACAACAGGTCTATTTCTTTGCATTTCTCTCTTAAAGCATTTTCCCTCCATGAATCTAAAGGTAATTACAGCGATGATAAGGATCAAAATCAAGTTCGTCCAAAGGTACGAGGACTAAAACACACTTTTCCAGAAATTTTCATTATTACATCCAATAGATTTTGTTACTGAAAAAAAAATTAACAATAGATAGAAACAGGGTTTTATTTTAAAATTACGAAATCCTGAAGCGATCACAAATTTCTAGACCTGTCAACTTAGCCCATTTGATAGGATTTGACCCTAACCCACATGGGTGGGCTAAAAAAGCCTATAGAGCCGAAAAAATCCTATATTAAAAAAGCCCATAAGGTTATATACCCCAAAAGCCCTATGGGTTAGGGCTAGCTATTTGCTTTCCTTTTTACCAAATTTTATGTACATTTTTAGAATAATTATTGTTATATATCATCATTAAGGCTTGTCTGCTAGACCATTAATGAGTCGTACCTAGTTCTGTACTTAGAGGTCTAGTGCAGACTCTTGATGTTCCATGTACTCTTGTGTTTTCAATATATAGAAGATAATGAGAGGGATCTGTTAAGCCCTCAAGAATATATTTTATCAGTTTTAATCTCAAGTTGGTATCAGAGCAGCTTCATACTGCTCTGGTTTCTGTCCTGGGTTGTCCACCAGCATTGTCATTGTTGTTCGCATCTGTCCGATGCCCTTTGTCGTTGTCCACGGTTGTCTTGTCACTATCTGCAGCTGTCAACTGCAGTTTGAAGCTCTTCAACTTGGTTCTCTGCCATCTCGCATCTGTCAGCCGCGGTCAACCGTCGTCCGCCATCACTGTTCCGTCCGGCGACCACTGGATCTGGTTCGTCTCTTCACGCGACGACCACCCCCACCGTTGCCGGAGTCTTAAAACCTTACTTCAGTGAAGTGCAGAAGCTCCCCTTGAAGAAAACCCTAAGAAACCCTCTAAGGTTTTTCGGTTCCTCACTATCGCGCTTTTCCTTCTCCTATTTTTATCAAGAATGGTGTATGGAAGTGTTCTTTCTTTCTCTGGAAGTCCCTCAATTACTTCCGAAAAGCTAAACGATAAGAATTATCTGTCTTGGTCTACTGCCGTGGAAATGTGGTTCCTCGGTCAAGGACATTATGACCACCTTGAGCAGGATGGAAGCCAAGTACCTTCTAAAAAAGCTGAACAATGGAAACAAGCAGATTTCCAATTGTGTGCCCTATTGTGGCAATCTGTGGAACCCCGACTTTTGATATCTCTTAGAGCCTTTAAAACGTGTCACTCTTTTTGGAAGAAAGCTCAAAGCATTTATGCTAATGATATTCAACGTCTCTATGATACAGCAAACAAGCTTACATGTCTCAAAATGACAGACCATGATATGGTCTCCTTCTTGACTGAAGCCCAAGCAGCTGTGGAGGAGTTGAGAATGTTCTTGGAAGTGGAATCTTCGGAAGACATCAAGAAGAAGCTTGACAAGTATTATATGGTGATGATCCTCCGTGCGTTACATCCAGATTTGAATCATATCAGAGATCAACTTCTGACAAGTCATGAGGTCCCTTCCTTGGAAGCCTTGACCACACGTCTTCTTCGTGTTCCAGTGCCTCAATCTCAGGAAGCTCATGAAAAAATGGAACCATCTGTCATGGTTGCCACGCGAGGAAGAGGAGGACATGGCACTAGAGGAGGAGGACGTAGAGGAAGAGGACGTCCAAAGTGCACTAACTGTAAGAGGATGGGTCACACACAAGAAAACTGCTACTCCTTGCATGGTTTTCCTTCAAAAACAACCAATATCTCTAAGGCTGAAACTCCCACTTCCAACTCCAAGTTCACTGAGGAAGAGTATCAAGAGTATCTGCGATTAAAGTCTAACAGCTTGGCACAATCATCTCAATCCCCAAGTACATCCACAGCTTGCATTTCTCAATCCATGGAAGGTCAAAATTCATGGGTAATTGACTCGGGTGCTTCTGATCACATCTCTGGTAATAACTCATTGTTCTAAACCCTTTCCCTCCAAGAAAAACCCCATTTCATTACCCTTGAAAATGGATCTAAAACTTGTTCAAAGGGAGTCGGTCAAGTCTCCCTGTCTCCCTCTCTAACTCTGAAATTTGTTCTTTTTGTCCCTAACTGTCCATTCAATTTAATTTCCTTAAGTCAATTAACCAAAATGTTACATTGTTCAATAACTTTTGATTCAAAATCTTTTGTTATACAGGAGCGCGGCTCGGGGAGACAGATTGGAGAAGGATATGAAGCTGGAGGTTTATACCATTTTGGATCTCGTCCACGGGTATCTTGTGTCGCAGCTCTTCCCCCTAAAGTGTTACATGATCGGTTTGGCCATCCTCACTTGTCAAAGTTAAAAAAGATGTGTCCTGAACTTAGTGGTCTTCAGACTTTAGAATGTGAGTCATGTCAACTAGGAAAACATGTTAGATTTGTCTTTCTTAAAAGGTCTCAATCAATGTATAATTCTAGTTTTTCTATTATTCATTCTGATGTCTGGGGACCTAGTCGCGTCTCTTCTTTTGGTTTTAGGTATTTTGTTACATTTATTGATGAGTATTCTAGATGTACTTGGGTTTATCTAATGAAAGATCGCTCTGAATTGTTACCCATCTTCACATCCTTTTTGAATGAAATCAAGAACCAATTTGGTCAAGTAATTAAAATCTTAAGAAGTGATAATGCTAAAGAGTATTTCTCATC